TTTATATCAAGTGATGTTATATATATATATGTCCAAGTGGCCCTTGGCAGAAAAAAATCCTCATCCCTGACTTAGAGCAATTCCTATTGTTGTTTGTTGGTATGTGTATTCAAGTCAGTTCTGACACACAGCAACCCTCTATAAGGTTTCTAAGGAGTCGCTGGTGAGTTTGAACCACCGACCTTGTGGTTCAAATCGACCTTTCGGTCCAGTGCTTATCCACACCAGGACTCCAGAGCAATGCCTGGAGTAAAGGTGAAATGCTAGCTAATGTAATTTTCTCTTTCAAAGGAAAGGATTCCCTAGTGGAGCACTGGGTCCCTTTCATGTGGTGCCATATAATTTCTTTGTTTGCTTCATCACTCTGCTGCAGGAAATGTTAGGACTTAGTCCATCTGATCTTTGGTGAAACTAAAATTGGAAGAAAAAAAAATCCAGTCATCTTAACCAGCTTTGCTTTAAGAAGGTTTGTCTTAGTGTTCTGATTCCTAGAGATGTGGTATGAATTTTCCTGTCTTCAAGTCTGGATAACTACCAGGCTCCAAATGGTTGGTTTTATCCTTCGGTCTTTAATGGCTTTTGGGAGGTGATGCATAAATGTATCAGCAACTTAACAAGTTGCCTACAAATAAATATTTTCATGGGGAACTTTTCTAGTTCTGCATTTTAAAGTCAATAAAACATCTTATCAATACTGACAGCACTTCAGAAAATCAGTGTTTCTAAAACATCTATCTATGGTGAATATTACATACCCACAGAGCTGTAAAAGCATATCAAATGTCATGGCATTTCACTTACAGAATGAAATCCCATCATCTTTCTCAGCCCTAGTGGTGTAGTGGTTAAAGCGCTTGGCTGCTATTCGACAGTTCGAAGTCACCAGCTGCTGTATGGGAGAAAGATGTGGTTGACTGCTTCCTTACAGATTTACAGCCTCATCCTACGAGGGTGGCGATGAATTAGAAAGGATGCCGCAGCAGTGGTCTCATTCATCGTTTCCTACACCAAAATCAAGCAAAAAAACCTTAGCAGCTGTCATCCAACCACAGATTTTGTTGTTGTGAAGTGCCATCGAGTCGGTTCCGACCCATAGCGACCCTGTATAGGGTTTCCAAGGAGCAACCGGTGAGCTTGAACTGCCAACCTTACAGTTCAAATGGCTTTGCAGTCTGGCGCATTCACCCACAGCGCCACACCAGGACTCCAACCACAGATTAGGAATATGGAAACGTCTTTCTTATATTCAAAAGAATGCTTTAACACATTCATATACTATCAGGGAAAGAGCTCTGGTAGCGTAATGCTTACAAATCGGGCTGTTAATCTCACATTCAGCAGTTCAAAACTACCAGCTATTCCGCTGGTAGATGATGAGGCTTTCTGCTCATGTAAATACTTGCAGCTTCAGAAACTCTGTACAGGGTCGCTATGAGTCGGAACCGACTCCACAGCACATAATGACAACAACATGCTATCAGGGAAATGCTCAGTTACTAAGCTTTCTTATTCAGAGGTTACAGAAAATGCTGTTTGAGACGTTTTGATTTCATTTCATGATACATCATCATTATCACTGCTTTAATTAAACTACTCCAAATTTGCAAAAAAGTTGAAACCTTAAATTGGAAAATAATTCACTAGAGCAGCTCTTTCTCTCTTAGCATCATAAAAGGCATTTATATATTAAAAAAGACACTTTGTGTCCGCATGTCTGGCTGTGCGCTCCAAACCCTTGTGACACCAGAAGCCTCCCCTCCCTAAACGCTTCACAGTACCTGGGGTGCCTGACAGCTTTGCAGCCCAGCATTGTATACCCTTGTAATGGCGATGTGATAGTCTGCTTGTCCTGCAAAGGCCTCACCCCTGCCCTGCTCTCAGCTAGATGGACCTCACTGTTGGTGACCTTAAACTAACCAGTGTTTCTATTCCCCAATCCCAATGCTCAATAATAGAGCCCTGGTGTGGCGCTGTGGGTTAATGTGCCAGACTGCAAAGCCGTTTGAACTGCAAGGTCAGTGGTTCAAGCTCACCAGCTGCTCCTCAGAAACCCTATACAGGGTCGCTATGGGTCGGAACTGACTCAACGGTACTTAACAACAACAATAATGCCCAGTAATTATTGTCAACAATGGGCACATTAACCAATCAGAGCTAGTGAGACTCAGATAACATTTACTGGGCCTTCTGGGAAAGAGATTTCCCCTCTCTTCTGTGTTCAGAAAAGAACCTCTCATTTTCCCTAGACTGTATGGTTGTTGTTATGAAGTGCCTGTATAGGGTTTCTGAGGAGCAGTTGGTGACTCTGAACTGCTGACCTTGTGATTCAAACGTCCTTGTGGTCCAGTGCTTTCCCACAGCGCCACATCAGGACTCCCAGAAAGTAGAAGAATGTAAAGTCTTGAGAAATGAGGCAGCCAGGGAGCTGCTGTGGCTTGGGGGGAGCTAAAGTGTGGTGCGGCACGTGGTCGACCTGAATTTAAAGACAAGCCAAGGGAACACCACCCTGAAGAGAGAGCCTGGAACAAGGTCAGAGTTAATAAATTTCGACTCAAGCAGACACAGCTTGGAACATTTTTAGTTCTAAACCAACATCAGTTGCTGTGTAGCTGCCTCAGACTCATGGCATTTCCATGTAGTCAGTGTAGACAGGTCTCAGTGGCTGATTTTTAGAAGTAACTCACCAAGCCTTTCTCTCTAGGTGCCGCTGAGTGGGCTGAACCACCAACCTTTTGGTTGGTAATGCAGCATGTTTGTACTATCCAGGGACTCCATTGAGTAAACACATTTCTTTTGATGTTTAAACCAAAAAAAAGCAGGGTTTTGTGTTGGTATTGCTTGTTGCTAAGTGCTGTCGAGTCAATTCTGACTCATAGCCAACAAGGAGTGACTGGTGAGTTTGAACCACTGACCTTGAGGCTCAAACCGACTTTGTAGTCTAATGCTTATCCTCCAGAGCCGTGCCAGGACTCCTGGGTTTTCTGTTATTGTTAAGTTCCTTCAAGTCAGTTCTGACTCATACCGACCCTGTATAGGGTTTCCAAGGAGCAGCTGGTGAATAGAAACTGCTGGCGGTTTAAACCCACCTTGCTATCAAGTGCTTACTTATCCTTCTTGTTGTTAAGTGCCCTCGAGTTGGTTCCGACCCATAGCGACCCTGCACAGGGTTTCCGAGGCTGTAAATCTTTACGGGAGCAGAAAGCCTCATCTTTCTCTCACGGAGCAGCTAGTAGTTTCCAACTGCTTACCTTGTGGTTTGCAGCCCGATTCGTAACTACTACGCTACAGCCCCACAATTCTGCTAAACTTTAAGGATTACAGTTAAATGTTTAGCCTTGATGTTAATTTTAGACTTGAGACATTTTTCTTGGGTTTGCTCCCCCACCCCCCTTAAAAAAACAACAAAAACAACTACTGCTTTGCCTTTGTAAATAAAAGTGAAAGAAAAGAATGAAGTTTGGGGCAGGGAATTTTTTTTTTTTTACCTTATTCATATGAAAAGGAATAATTCTTTCTTTGTCCAATCTATTCTATATAATAGTGAAATATTTGACCATTCATAAAAACAAGCATTTATATTAAAATCCATCCTTAAATACAGCCCTATCTTTTCACCAGGAACCTTGCAAAAATATGATGAATATGCATGTATGAATATTAAAGCAAGGAAGATCACTCAACTGTCCATTGGAAATGCAGCATTACATACAATGTAATAAATATGCAGAATATCAAATCCACAAATTGATCATTACTCTGATTTAGACTTTTTTTTTCCAGTTAAGACCTTTGCTGTGTAATTTATTGTAATAACGTTACAAGTTAAACATTACTAATACAAAAAGACAAGCCAATTCATCTGACTGCTGAACTAACATAGTTCTCCAAATTTTGTACCATATTTTAACCTATTGCATATAAAATTGTCACTTTGGCAAGAAATACATATCCATATAACTAGTCAATGTTAAAAACAAAAAAGTCAGAGTTAATTGTATGAAAAGAAACAGAAGCTAATCTTATTTCAGAGATAATCCTATTGCTTTAGCTCTTGTGCTTTGGCAATAAGTGCCTTAAGTTTTAATATATTCCATAACTTAAATACTGTATTAACAAAATAAAAAACTTATTTTTTCTAGCAAAATACTATACAAAATGCTGTCTTTGCACATTTAAGGGGTGTTGTTTCCTTGCAATGTTTTAGAGCCTTTTACTTTTTTAATCTCTAAATATCATTTAGTCTTCCACTTACTTTTTAGGATCAACCTGATCCCTATCACCTCAGTATAAATTAATCTATGATTAAACTATGAATCCTGAAATCAAAGACTATTATATACCTTGCTGGAGTTTTTCCAGGTAAATTCTGCTAATGAAAAGGCACTTTAAATCCAAATCACACATCTCATTTGTTACATTTTACTTCTTTCCTTTTACCACTAAACATTCTGGAAGAGCACTTTTTTAGGACTATTGTGCCATTAATGAAGGTTCTTTTAAAGCTTCTTCTTTGCAGTTCAGGAAAAGAGAAAGTAAGCTTGGCTTCTGTTAACCTTTTCAACATCTCCTGTTTCTTTGTACCAATACTTAGGATGATTTCTTCATTTAAAATAGTGAGAGAGTAAATGAGATTCATGTTTACACTGCTTGCAGCTCTAAGAGGAGACTTTAAAGCATGTTTAATATTCATCCACCATCATGGTGTCTGTAGTCCCGGGATCTTATTCTGAGTATGGGCCAGGTCTCCTAGCATGAGGATGCTCGGATGTTCTTTCTTGCTTTGGAGATGGGTTATCTCCCTTGTATGTCAACATATAATCCACAAACCACCAAAGGATGAAGCCAAACCTTTTAAACCTGGAATACCAAGAAAATACACATGCTTCATATGTGACAGGTTGCAGATCAGGTCAAGGAAACCTGGAGAGGCCCAAGGATCCAGGAATCCCACACAAGTCAGCCCCACACAGTTGGGGCACTCTAACTGTGTCACTGGAGAGTCTTGTCCAAGCCTGGGCGGGGCGGTTACTTGCAGGTGTGAATATCAGTCATGCTTTCACACCTCCTACAGCGGACATAGCAGCACCAGATAAACTTACATTCACACCTCTCCACGTGGCGGACCACGTGGGTATTGTAGCCACGCCCACAACACAGGAGGTTGCACCCATCAGCGCCCTCTGACGTGCGGTTGCATTCTCTGCCCTGTGTCCCCGGGATCCCCAGTTTCTTATCCTCCACACAGTAGTTGGGAGACTTATTGACGTACAGCAGATCATCCTTCCGGATCGGTATCTTCCTCTGATCTTTTTCTCTCCTGCGCACTTTCTTCTTAATTTTGTCTGAGATTTGGACACTGTTTTCGTATTTATCCTTCAACAAACGCCCAATCTTTTCGAAAGAAGACATGGTTTTCCAGCATGTTCTCACAGCACACGAGCCTGAAACCCCATGGCAGCGGCAGTCTACGGACATCAACTTGGCGACAGCCTGAAACCAATAGTAAATGTGTTCAAACATCAGTCACCAAGAGGTTTTTCTCTACAACAGAACCACCGCCAACTTCATCACTAGCCCCCCCCGAGTCTGTTTTCTCCTGTCTGAAAATGAGGTGTGTGAACTTAGACCTGTAAAAACCTATTTCCACCCACTGAATAGTTTTCATCTTGTCTAGATGGGTCTGGTGAAAAGAGATGGGGATAAGATTTGTAGGATTCAATTGTGAATAATTGTTATCATGACTAACTGCAACTGTCACAATTGTAAAGGTAGAAGTTCTGTAACAAAAACAGGGGAGTGGTTAACCTTACAGTCCAGAAACAGAGCCTAGGACCATCAAGGGTGAAGAGCACAAGCAGAATGCCGGACCCTATCCAGAGAAGCAAGGAGCTCTGGTAACGTAGTGGTTACAAGTTGGGCTGCCAACCACAAGGTCAGCAGTTTGGAACTACCAGCGGTTCCACAGGAGAAAGATGAAGCTTTCTGCTCCCATAAAGATTTACAGCCTCGGAAACCCTGTACAGGGTCACTATGAGTCGGAACTGACTCTACAGTACTTAACAACAACAACATCCAGAGAAGCAGCGACACCAGAGATGGAGGCAGAGATGGGGACATGGAGAGGCGGAGCGGCTGAGGACTCTAGATTCATGGGAAGAGGTGTATATTATTATATATGCCTGAGTGGTTGTTGTTGTTTTTTTTTAAAAAAAAGCTAAAGTGACTAGAGAGAAAGATTGTTAATTGATGGTACATGAAGGGGATTATAATCATTGTAATGAAACAAGGTGTATGATTTGTTGAATGTAAAACTGATGATCTGCCCTGTAAACTTTCACTCAATCCACAATAAAAAAACAACAAGCTTTACCGGAGCAGCTCTCCAGGTCTGTCTCTCAAAGAGAGGCTGCTGGGTTTGAATCGCCAACCCAGTGCCTAACCATTACACCACTAGGGCTCCTTTTTTGAACGTATTGTTATTGTTAAGTGCTGTTGAGTCTGTTGTGACTCATAGGGTTTACAAGGAGCAAAGCGTGGCTGGTGGATTTGAACCTCCGACCCTGCAGTTAGCAGTCCAGGACTTATCCTACAGTGCCACACCAGGACTTACAGGGTGTTTGTTTGTTTTTTTCCCTTTAAAGCTTTTTTTCCCTTTAAATCTTTAAGGTGACGTGGGTTAAAATATTTTGCGTTTCTCTTAACCCTGTGGAACACATTTTTTGAAGTGCCACTCAAAGTATAGACCAGGCTGTATTTATCAGAGATTATCTGAAACAACAAAAGGAGACCACTTGTACTTCCTGTCTACTTTTGGGTATGGAAGATGCTCACACTCCTCTATTGCTTGTTCCATGGGTCAGCAGAACAGGCATCACTTGTCAAAAATGTAGATTGTCAGTTCCCACCCCAGAACTACAGATACTGCATCTTAACAGGATCTCCAAGTGACTTGTCTACATTAAAGTCTGATAAGCCTTGATAGTCTATAACGATCATAGTGCATAGAAGCACTTGAGGAACTCTGCAAGTGAGCCAAGGAGTGGAACTGTAAGAGAAGCCCTGGTCTGCTAACCACAACGTCAGCAGTTCAAACCCACCAGCTATTCTCAGAAACTCCATAGAGGGTCACTATGATTTGGAACCAACTCCAAGGCACTTAACAGCAACAACTGACTGCCTGAGGTTCTGATTTAGTTGGTCGGGTCAAAGCAATGATATTTTTATAAAAAAGGAGGAAATGATTTGAATGAACAGCTAGGGATGAGACCTGCTGATTGAACTGAGAGCTCCCCTTTGATAGCTGTGAATAAAACTCATTCTATATCGACCGCGGTGGATGGAATTCATGACCCCCACATCTCAGATCACATGAGAAACTCAGGTCAAAAGAAGAAAAGGCTGAGAAGTGTGTTTGCTCCCAAAAATTCTTCCCTTCTTCCCCCAAATACATTAAAAACACATATCCTGTCCTTGATGGGTCCATAATAACACCATCCTGACATAGAGAAGGCATAATATTTATATAATTTTTCAGTGCTGAGTTCTGAGTTTAGTTTACCCAGACTGAAATATTAAATGAGATTCTGTGTATTTATAACAGCCCGCTGCCTGGCACACATCAACATTTCTATAAATGCTTCCTTGGCATTTCTCTGAAGAAGGTACAGTAAAAGTTGAGATAACATTTCAACTGGGTTAACTGTGTGAAAACAACAGAGATTTCAAGTTTTAGGGTTCGCATCTTTTCCATACCAGGCTTGCCAGCATAGCTTCCTTCAAGCCCCAGAGATTAATAAATCGTCAGGTCTAGCTGTAGAGTTGACTTTCTGTCAACATGCTGGGCAGGATGAAAAACGGATCCATCCATTCAATGACTTGGAAATTATGTGTGCAATCTCACCAAAGAAAAGAAAAAATTCATAGCTTAAATTCCACTTACAGTTCTTATCAAAACTATGAAATGACAGGGATTTATACTTTGTTATTTTGTACCAAACCTAACATTGACATGTTCATGGTACATTATATTATCCAACAAATTAGCAAAGTTTTCTGAACTATCAAATGAGACAGAATATTTTGAACAATTTCTAAAACTTACAACCTCCAATGAGAGCGCATGGTACTGATTTGTGCAGTGTTTGACACTTCCAATTAATGTTTCAATAAGAGCCTGGGTAACATAGTAGGTCAAGAGTTTGGCTGCTAACCGCAAGGTCTAAAGTTCGAATCTACTAGTGACTCCACAGGAGAAAGATGAGGTTTTCTGCTCTGGTAAAGATTGACATCCACGGGAACCCTATACACGATCCCTATCAGTCTGACAGCACACAACCACAACCAACCATTAATTAGTGTTTAAAATAATCAACAAAATATTTAAATGTTGTTCCTTATAGAAGATGGCGCACGGGTTCTTTTTTGAATTCACAAAACCGAGATGCTAACAGAGGTGCCTATTTCTTCTTAATCCAGGCAAAATGTAGCCTTTGATATTATCAAAACAATTTGAATAACCATGACATGCAGGCTTATTTGGTTAAATTTGTGCCATTTGATATTTATCCATAGGAGCAATCAGAGGCCATGTGCTCCTGTAAAGATTTACAGCCTCAGAAATCCAAAAGAGCAGGCCTGCTCTGTTCTGTTTGTTGTTATTACAAGCCGTCAAGCTGGTTCTGACCCATAGAAACCCTGTATATAAGGTTTCCTAGAAGTGGCGAGGTGAACTCGAACTGTTGACCTTGTGTGTCAAACCAACTTTACAGTCCAATGCACTAGCTTACAGCTCCACACCAGGACTCCTGTGGGATCACTATAAATTGGAATCAGCTCAAAAGCAGTCGAATTTTGTATAATTTTTTTTTTTTAAAGACATTCACAAAACCTTCAATTATTTAAAAAATTTTACAGGCAAGTAAATTTTCAAATGAATGTGATCTTCCTAACTTTGTTCAGATTAAATCACTGCTAAGTAATAAAATAAATTGTCAAAGAAAGTCAAACATGCAAAAATGCATGCTTGTATGTTTAAACATGATCAATGTTCCTAACAATCATCATTTTGTGATTTAAAGCTGCCTCTCCCTATGGCTGCAGAGCCAACCTTTTCTTTACTAGGTCCAGTTTGTAAAATGTGAAGACAGAGTGGGTGCTCACCAAATACTTATTGAATGATCTCTCCAGCTTTACTTGAACAGTTTTAAGTCATCCTTTAAGTTAACCTGTTTCTTGAGGAAGCAATAAAAATTACCGTCTTAAACCAAAGAGTCACCACCAAAAAGGTCAATGGGATTGGGACAGTTTGAGCCAGCCTGACTGTCTTCTAATTCCTCAGCCTCAGTCTAGTCCACAAAAGTGTGGTTTCACAAAATGACACAATGCTTCACAAGGGTGAAGGATAATTCAATTCTATCACTTCCTGAATTTGTATTGTAATTTGGGAGGGATTTTCCTACCACACAAACTGAGTCCTTACTCCAATAACCATAATTGTCTACTTGTTATTGTTGTGAAGTGCCGTAGACTCAGTTCCAAGCCATAGCGACCCTGTATAGGGTTTCCAAGGAGCAGCTGGTGAGCTTGAACCACCGACCTTGTGGTTTAAACCAACTCAGCAGTCCAGTGCATAAGCCCACAGCACCACACCAGGACTCACAATTGTCTAGAGATGCCACTTTTTAAAAGTTAAATTCTATTACCTTAGAATTATAATTATCCTTAACAATAAATCTAAGAAAAGAAACATTATTTTTACATGTATTTATATATGCTGTTGTTAAGTGTTGTCAAGTCAATTCTGACTCATAGCGATTCTGTGTATAGGGTTTCCAAAGAGCATCTGGTGAGCTTGAACCACCAACCTTGCTATTCAAACCGACTATGCAGTCCAACACATTAGCTCGCAGTGCCACACCAGGACTCCATGTATGTATATATATATATAGGAAAATAAATGAAATTCATGAACAAGAATCTCAATAAGTTGACAGGCAATTTGAAAGATTATACCTTCATACTTCAAAGAGACAACTTGGACAAATAGGAATTAAAACAAAGCAATGCAATTACCATAAGGTAATCACCACTAGGAGAATTTGATGAAATGGAGACTTCAAGGGTGGACACACACATATAGTTTAACTTTACAGAATTTAGTGCTTTGCAAAGCATATTCATAAATTGTTTTAGTTGGTTCAGGTTTACAAAAGGGAAAAAAAAATGCCTTGCACATGTTGTGTGCCGTCTAGTCAATTCTGAGTAGAACTGTCCCATAGGGTTTCCTATGGATGTAATAATCTTGAAGGAGCTCTGGTAGCGTAGTGGTCAGGCTGCTTAAAGGTCCAGGCCAGCAGTTTGAAACTATGAGCCATTCTGTGGGAGGAAGATGAGGCTTTCTGTTCCCATAAAGATTACAACCTCAGAAACCTGATGCAGGGTCACTATGAGTCAGAACTGACTCCACGGCACATGACCAAGAAGCAAATGGCTTGCTCTTTTCTCCCATGTATCCACTGGGGGTTTGAATTGCTAACCTTTTGGTTAGCGTCAGAGCATTTAAGCATTGCAACCTGAGGACTCCTTTTGCCTTGTACATGGTAGGTCGTTTATGAACATGTACTTGTTATTATTTCAATTTTACAGAAAAATAAACAGTGTGGTTAAAACACTTGTCTTAATAAGGAAAGTTGGTGATACATGATACACAGTCTTTAAGGATAATAATTTTATAACAAAAAGAAGAAAGTGGAAAATACAAGTACATTTAAAGAAATTGCATGAACACTCCCAAAAGAGTGTAGTCTGGAGTTTTCCAGCTAGGATTCCTAATTAATGCAAAACAGCCTCCCTGATCTGCAGAGATGGCACAGCCATCTAGTAACAGGAAAAGTAAGCGAATAGCAACAGAACGTCTTGTGTGTGGTTATGAGCAAATTCCTTTCTGTACTCCACTTGAGTTCTTAAGGTTTATAACGATATTAACAAAGGAATGTTTTGTTAACTATTGCAAACAGATGTGCACATTTTGGTAGAAGATTTTTAAAGTATCAGAGAGCAATTAGGAGAGTGGTCACTGACTCTACCGTTTTGATTTGAAACATTTTGAATGATGTGACAAAGGAAGGAAGCATCGTTAAGACTGAAATCCTTGATGATAGAAAATATATTTTATGAAAAAATAAAAATGACTTGGGAATTGATCTAAGTATTGATGGGTCTGAAAAATACTCAAGGTATTGTAGCAGGCACTGTTTTCAGTATATTACTTTATCCAAACTTTGCAGAAATGGCTTGAAAGCTGTTATGGAATATTTTGTGTCTAACATTTCATTTTGTCAACTATCAGATGATCTGTTTAAGTTTTTTAATGAAAACTGCAACATGCGGTTGGATGATTGGATGTCAAATTCCTATTCCTCTGACCCACTACGTCCCTTTCTGTCCAAAAATATATTTGAACCTGCCGAGAAGCAAAACACGTATGTGTTGTTCAACTACTTATAACTATCCTTGACACAGGTCAACGAAAACTTGGGGTCGGGCCCTTCCCACTTTTTTGAGTTACTCATCATAAAACAAATTATGGGGTAGGGAAACTTAAAAGTTTATGAGGTGGACATGGGAAGAATGGAAATATTTTAGGCACACCAAAAGAAATACCCATAAATATTCCAAAGTCACATTATTCCCAGCAGTTCCGCCCCTGGAAGACATCACATCATTCTGGTAGCGAATCACCGTTCAGCAACATTATTCTTGGAGTCATAACTTCAGGAATGGTGTCAGAAACCAAGTGGGATTCAGAGTATTTAAGGTCAGCGGTTAGAAAATCTTCTATCCTGCTCACAGCACTACTAAACGCCAGTACCCACATCTCTCTGAACGCTTTCCTACATTTTGAATTTGGGGATTTTGAGACTAGGAAAATCAACTCAATTGAATGCAGATCTGAACTTTACTCAGAAAAATATGCCTATTAGATTAAAATGCTAATTGCCAATATTGAAAACTGAGTTGATTGCTCGTCTATTTTATATAATAAACTGGAAATCTAATTTCTTATAACCCCCCCACCAATGGGAAAAAAAAAGGAAAAATACTTTGATATAATACTTCATAAGAAAAGACCAATAAAAACACTCGGGTAGTACTCTTAAAACTATCCAGATAAACATTTTGTAATGTTTTAAAGTTCCATCTAGAACAAAATGAGGACAAAAAAGTTCTAAGTAGCAAAAACTCTGAAATTTACTTAACACTGTATATGTATGCATAGCCTCAATTATTTCCTGTATAATTAGAATAATAGCAAAAACCTAGGCAATATGAGAAGATTGTTTTGCCAAAAAGAGGTGGATTAAAATTGATTCTGTATCCTTTTAATATAATTAGAATATAAATAGCTAACAACCAAATTTAACAGTTACAGAGGCAAACGTTGGTACCTAATTTTGGAGAAAAAAAAATACACAAAACAGAATAAAACTAACTAGCTACCTAACATTAGCAATAAAAAATGAATTTGGAAACATCTTAGGGATTTTCACAATTTCAGAGGTGACTTTATTTCTAGAGAATCAGGCATAGCATATATTTCTAAGTTTTGTTTTTTGGTTAAGGCTATTTTAAATCTCTACTAAATATTTAAAGAATGGCTAAAAAATTTTAAATATGTATTAATAAAAAACATCCAGCTAATTGTTACTTTGTTTTCAAAATACATTAATTTTATGTATTTTGGTGTGTTTGTCTAGTTTAATGATTGAGTTTCAAATAGCATATTTTAATTGTATTTAACCTATTTAGAAGCCTGTTAGAAATTATAAAAAAAAGTCTTTTATTATATATTTTAATTAAAGCACAATTCAGATTTTTTTTTTTAAGTAAAACTTTAGGGAAAAGAATCATGTGCATAAAAATTACAATGTTAGACAAGACCATCTCTTTTTAGTGAAATAAAATAAACAAAAATTTCTAAACAAAATTTAGGAACCAACTCAACAGCACCTAACAACAAACTAAAAAAAAAAAATCTTACTTAGCTATTTACTAACTTTCTGTTTTTAGTTGATACAAGTGTTGAGGCCTTGGATTTATTGAGATTTCTGTTTTGGTCTTTTCAAGCAGAGCATATTAAGAGAAGAAAAGTGGCAAACACATGCAACGATTCTGAATGGGTTCCATTTATTCACTTTTCAAAAATATAAAACAAATGCAACATATACTATAAATATTCCTATGAGATACTGAAACTTGTTTTGATTTACTTCGGGATTATGGGACAGATTGCAATGTCTCCACTGGGTCCTTACTGAATATTTATATTAATAGTTGATGTGTGCTGATATTCCTATACCTAAGAGTTTATTACCACAGAGAGAATATACCTTCACAAAAGTTCTCCACAATTCAATACAGCCAAGTAATTTAACTACATTGTAGAAGCCAAACTTCATTGTGTCAATAGTCATTAATGGAAAGATACAAGAGGTAAATAAAGCCAAAGTGTATTCTAGTTTAGTAAAATGTAATTTTTACAAAGAAGCTACAGTACTTTGTAATCAGGTGACTATTTCTCTTGGAAAACAACAGCAACTTTGTTGTACAAAATTTCTTAGTTAAAACAAAAAACCCACTGCCTTCCAGCCAGACTCATAGCAACCTTAACTTAAAGGAAGGAAACCCTGCCCCACAGGGTTTCCAAAGCTGTAAAGCTGTACTGAAGTTGACTGCTCTCCCACTGAGTAGAGTCAGTTTGAACCACCGAACATTTTGGTGTGTAGCCAAGCACTTTAGCCACTGTTTCATCGGTACTGCATTTAAGAATGTTTGCTACAGGAAATGCAGACAAAACTGATAACAAGTTTAGGAACCACTGCTCACTAAAGAATAGATTTAACAAATACTCAATATTCTAACTAAATGAAATCAGATTCAAATGGATCAGAATGGCAGACAATGTAGATTTTATTAGGTTCTGCCCCTCACTAATCAGCTAAAGGGATGGAACACCACATAATCCAACAGACACTTCTACATCTATTATTTTATAATTAATCCCTCAGATATACAAACATATTTTCTGAGAAGATTCAACTCACATCACATAGAGAACGTAAAGTAAACCAGCATGGTCAATACACACTTCTGAAGGCATAAACGTGAGTCAGCGCAGTCGCTCCATATGGTGATACGCACGGGACTGTGAACCACAAGGTTCTTGGTTCTCGCCTGATAACTGTTCTGTGGGAGAAAGATGAGGCTTTCTGCTCCAGTGAACATTTAAAGCCTCAGAAACTCCATACAGGGTCACTATGAGGTGGAACCGACTCAATAGCACTTAACAGTGACATATACAAACAAATCTTTGACTGCAAATGTTTGACTTTTAAACCTTTAGGACAAAAACTCTAGTATTCAGAATTTACCTGAAAACACTGGATTTTAATCCCATTTTTCTAACACATACCTGCCTTCCTGCTTCATTGTTGTGCAGGTTCATTGCTATAAGAACTTTGCTTTCTTTTTCCATGGTGTTTCTGATGGGGGAATCTAGGAACTTTCTGCTGAACCACATGCCATACTGGACGTCATCAGAGCAGCCCCCCCAGTGCCAGCCTTCGCTTGCCGAGCCTCCATTCTGCAAGGTGGTATCACAGGAACATTCTGTCATGTTGCCTGCACTGCATGACCTGGTCACAGAATGCACCAGACCAGCAGCCATCACGGCATGAATAAATGCTGTTTCCTTGGTGCCTAGAATAAAACATACATTGCTAAATTAGGGAGTCTTTGCTCTCTGTGAAGTTCAGATCCAAGCCTCCTACTCATTTCTCAACTGCTTATGAAGGATGCTTTAAAATGTCTATACATTTTAGAAAGGAGGATGTCCTAATCATAAAACAAAACAAACCCCAGAACATTAATTTTCAATATTCCACTTGAGGGGACTGCCATTTATTATGCCACTGTATGGATGTTATTATTCAAGTAATAATGGCAAACATGTATTAATATATGACATTGTCCTCATGCTTTCAAATTGTGTCTATTTTTATAATGTGAAATGCATTCTAGCAGGGACCTAAGTACTTTACAGTTAACAGCTCAGTAAATGCATGTTGAGAATAAAATTTTTTGCATGGATACTGTAAATGCTATTACAACACCCAAAGGAAGCCAGATTACCTTTCTTCTTCAACTTTCCTGTGTTCTCACAAAAAACAAGCTGAAAAATTTGGTCTGATTCCCCCCCCACACACACACACACACAAAAGCAACGCAAGACTAAATGCAAATGTAACAAAGTCCAAAGCAATTAGTAAATAAATGTCACTTCACTTCCACATTGAAGACTAGTCTTCTTTTAGGATATTATGAATAACAATCACTGATGCTAATATGAAATAATTAAACATTTAACATAGTATTATAGGCAATAAAAGGTAAAGTAATTAAAATGTCACTAGCAAAGAAAATAGAATTATGAAAAAAATAAATATTGGAAAAGATGTATTTAGAACACTTACAATACAGTTTGAGCCCAACTCTTTGCAGAGTAAAACTCCGCGGAAACATTAACAAAATAGACTAGAAGGGGCTCAGCGGTGACTATTATTTTTTTCTCTTGCAAGATGTTTAGATTGGAGGAGAAACAGTTTCACGCCCCTTGCCCCATAAACCTTTTCAACAGCTGATTATGCCTCTGCACTTCAACAACTGTGAAGACACGTTTTTTTTCCTGCAGGAGGTCAGGGCTCCTTCGGAAGGGTGTGCCGGCCAAAACGCAGCAGGGTGAGCGCACAGATTTGAGTAGAGAGTGAGGCGACTAGGCGAGGAAAGGGTCAACCGGGAGGAGGAACGGAAAAGAAAGTGGAAAACGACAAGCAAACTTTCAGAGCACGAGTCCTGAAACTCTTAGAATCTGCTGATATTTTTGCCACAACCCTGCTCCCCAGTATCTGTATTCTTACCAAGTCACTAAGCACGTGGAAATGAAACTTTGTTCTCTTGCTGCGCCCCGCGCCGCGGGTGTGCAAAGAGGGAGGGAAGGATCGAGAAAAAAGAAGAGAAAGAGGGAGGGAACGATAGAATAAAAAGAAGAGAGGAGAAAGCCAAAGGAGTCAGGCTCGAGTTAACCGCGCTTGGTCTTTCCAAGACAATCTCTCTTCAAACCACCGTTCCCCATCTACCTGGCGCTCCAAGGAGCCTACACACGTGGGGTTGGCTGCAGGGAGTCACTTCTCTGAGCAGGGCCAGTGCCCAGCGAGCCAGCTGATTAAAGTCAAAGCAGATGCAGCAGCAGCATTTCCTGACCCCGACCTCAAGTTTCTCCAGCTGGACCTCTACGTAGGGGACGGGGGGCACTCCAGGTGGCGGGCGTGGAAGAATCAAGAGTTCCCCCAAATCTGGCAGGGTGCGGAAGGACTGAGGTAGAACTACAGCCCCAAGCACTAGGCTCTGCACCTAGGTGTCACCTCCTCCGATTCCGCACCTGCAACCCAGCTCTGGCGTTGACCTCCCGGGATCCCCGTCATTCCTGTTCACTTGTTGCTGACTGGCGGGGGCGTGGAGTCCATTTTGACTCTTGCTGATCCTTTGTGACAGAGAAGAATTGCCCCTTTGCGCTGGACTGCAAGGTCTGTTTGAACCCTAAGGTCTGTGGTTCAACCTCACCAGCGCCCCTCTGAAACCCTAGGCAGGGCCACTATGAGTCGGAACCTACTCAACGGCACTTAACAACAACAATAATAATCTTTCCAGGGAGCCCAGGTAGTGTTTAAGTGATTCCGCTCTGCGCTGTTAAATGCAAGATCAGCAGTTCGAATCTACTAGTCGCTCCTCGGGAGACAGATGAGGCTTTGTGCTCCATAAAGATTTACATCCTGGAAATAACAATCATTGACGTTAATAGAAACCAGTTAAACATTCACTGCGGTGAGCAGTTCGAAACTACCAGCTGTTCCGCGGGAGAAAGATGAGGCTTTCTGCTCCCGTGAAGATTTACAGCCTCGGCAAGCCTGTACAGGGTCGCTGTGAGTCGGATCCGACTCCACCGGCACATAACCAACCAACCAATAGGCAATGATGGTGGTGGTGGTGGTTACGTGCCGTTGCGTCGGTTCCGACTCACAGAGACCCTGTACAGGGTTTCCGAGGTTGTAAATCTTTATCCGAGCAGATAACCTCATCTTTAAGGAACCCTTCTATGGAGTCCTGGCGTGGCGCTGTGGGTTAATGCGCTGCACTGCAAGCTCAGTTTGAATCGTAAAGTTGAAGGTTCAAGTTCACCAGCCGCACCTCGGAAACCCTATACAGGGTCGCTATGGTTCGGAACCGACTCGATGGCACTTCACAACAACAGTACCAAAGGCACTATTTGTTGTTGTTGTTAAGTGCCATCGAGTCGATTCCGACCTATAGCGACCTTGTATAGGGTTTCCGAGGTGCGGCTGGTGAGTTTGAACAGCCGACCTTGCAGTTCAAACGCCTTTGCAGTCTGGCGCATTAACCCACAGCGCCACACCAGGACTCCATAGGCAATATAAGGTAAAATAATTAAATTGTCACTAGCAAAAAAATAGAATTATGAAAATGTTTAAATATTGAAAAAGATGTACTTAGTCGGAACTGACTCAGTGGTACACAACCACCGCCACCAATCTTTAGATCGCCAAGTCTTCTTCCCACTGCACTGTGGTTGGGTTCGAACTGCCAACCTTTGGTTACACTCCAGGGCACCTTTGCTGTCTACTAAATGGCCTCTTTCAGGATTTGCAGCGCGACGGGGTCATAACTGCACTATTTCTGCATTCAGAGGAAATGGAGGGGCTGTCGGCTCCGCAGGTCCCGAGACTCACCGCTGCTCAACTCGTAGCCCAAGACCGGGCTGGTGACCGGCGGGGCGGCGGCGACCGCACAGTTCCATCGCTCGTGGCGGAACTGGCTCCGACACTCCTGGATGCCCAGGCGCGCGCCCTCGCGGATGCTGGGCAGCAGGTACGGCTTCTTTTTGCACAGCTCCTTCTGACGGCTGCTCAGCGGCAAGTTGGCACAACCCAGCTTCTCCGGAACACCGAAGGAGGCGATGCCCAGCCACCTGTAGGACACGGCCATCCCCAGTGTCAGCCGCTTCCTGCTCTTCTCCTCCCAATCCCAGACGTTCTCCTGAAAATCAGGCCAGCCATCCCATAGTCCCCGGCCCTCATTCCCCGCTCAGGGGCTGACACCCCTCTGCCACCTAGCCCACCCGCCCGCCCTTCAGTCCCAGTACTCACATCCAGTTTCCTTGTGCTCCGCAGGGGAACAGTGCAATCAGGGCTGCCCACAGCGCGCACAGGCGGGGCAGGCCCAGGAGCGCCGCTCTTTCCATGGCCCCCGCATGGAGTCTCCCAATCCCGGCTACTCCTCGTCCGCCCTCCCCGCCCAGACCCGCCGGGCCAGAGGTCAGTCTCGGGCACCCAGTTGTCCTCGCCCTCCTCCACTCAGCATGCAAAAGAAAAAGCTGTCCCGCCGTGCTTGGAGCTTTCTGCAGCCTCCCCTTTTTTGCAGGGCTCAGAGTGAGGGGGTGGAGAAAGCCGTCTGGGGCCCTCCTCCCGAGGGAGACGCGGGAACCCGCCTCGCCTTCCAAGGTGAGAAACTTCTGCGCCCGGAGCGGCGTCTCCATCGCCCGGGGCTCTCCTCCCATTTCCCCCAGCTCCCACCCACTTGGCCGTCCTAGCGCCTGATTGGCCCCGCAGCTCGTTATCCAGAGACCTCAGCTTCTCATTGGCTGACAGCAGGCTCTGCGGGGGGCTTCTGGGGGCCGGTGGCTCTCCCGCAGCGGTCCAGGCCCAGGCGTGTCTTGATCTTTCCGTTTGTCCCAGCAGGTCTTCGATGGAAGGGCTTAATTTAAACAGAAAACTGATGGGAGCGCTTCTGTTTTTGCAACCCTGGAGGGGGACTTGGGTTTGAAGGGAGATGTCCTTGAGTTCCACTCACCGAGCCTCATTTGGTACTTCCTTCTGGGTGGAGAGTCTGGAAAATCGCATTGCCAGTAGCCTGGCTTTCTTTCTTCCCTCTCGTCTCAAAAGCCAAAACAAAAAACTTTTTTTGAGTCAGAATTGGTACCAGACCAGTTGTTGATTATTCAACACCCTTCAAGAGGCTTTGCCACAGACTTAAGGATGAAATGCTGTAAAGTTCAGAATAATCGCCTTCATTTACATACGATTTTTTTTTTTTCTTGGAAAGGGAAGATGCTAGCCAGACTTTTAATTCTACCATATTTAAATTGTATTGTGTGGTTTCCTTTTCCCTTATTGTCTTATTTCCCGAAGTCCTTGAGAACACGGTATCAACAACCCCAGGCAGAAGATACAGGAGAGCGGGGGAAAAAAAGGCGAGCTTGCTCGAGAGTTCAGGATACAGCCCTTCCCTGTCCCACATTTGGGCTGCCATGGAGACCAGGGGACAGGGCCACAGGTTGAAGACAAATATAAACTTCATTACACACCTGCTGGGTGGGGCAAATGATTAAATGCTACTGACTAAAAGATTGGTGGTTCAAATTCACCCAGAAACAGATCTCCACAGGTCACTGTTATTAAAATTCTTGTAGAGAGAAGGTCTACGGTGGTACACCTGTAGTCTCCCTGAGTCAAATCAATTGTAAAGCAACTGATTTATTTTGTTGTTGTTGTTGTTGTTGTTGACACTTAAAAAATATGAGATCCCTTTAGTCAAGTATACAAACCAGTCATGAAGACAAGTCTAAAACAAAATAATTTCTGATTATAAGTAAAGGAAATGGTAGGATCCCTCAGAGTACTGTTTGGACCAAAGACAGTTGGAGTGATGGTGCTGTTGTATGGTACCTAATAGAAGGGTTAGGGAATCAGTGGTTTGCAGGCTAGAAGGTCCCTGTGAGGCCATAAAGATGAATGGAATATGCCTAGTTTTGCTCTTAGGAAGCCCTGCCTCACTTCAGAGAAGCATCATCTATACCCCAGAGGACTTCTAAAATGTTGCTAAATTCTCAGGGTGAATACAGTAGTTCAGTAGATACCAGAATCTAGACTTATTCAAAAAAAGAATTTGAGATTATTTGCTGCATTTCTCCTATCCAACCCAGAATAATGAAAATTCACTGAAGTTTGCATGATAGATATTCCTTTCATTCTTTTACCCAACAAGTATTTGTTGAGTGTGCATGGTGTATCAGGCCTTAAGACACATTATAACTTTCAGAAGGTCAAGTTGATGATTGGGTGCAGTTGTTGTTGTTGTTAAGTGCTGTCGAATCGATTCCGACCCGTAGCAACCCTGTATAGGGTTTCCAAGGAGCAGCTGGTGAGCTTGAACCACCTACATGGCAGTTCAAACGACTTTGAAGTCTGACGCATTAGCCCACAGAGCCACACCAGGACTCCCAGGGTATAGTGAAGGACCCAGAAACATTTTGCCTAATGACTATAGGATTCTCCGAAAAATCAAAGTCATCTTGCAAACTTTCTTTATTCTGTGAGTTTCTTTAAGAGAGACTTTGGTACATTCATTGCTCTATCTGGGCAGTGGGCCTTGAATTTGAGATCCTTTTTCTGACCACTTATGAGTGGGCAGACATGATCAGGAACAGCTGATGGTGGTGGTGACGTGCTGTGGAGTCAGTTCTGACTCATAGCGATCCTAACAGGGTTTCAAGACTGTAAATCTTTATGGGAGCAGACAGTCTTATCTTTCTCCCTCACTGTGGTTGGTAGACTCAAACTGCTGACCTTGCAGTTAGCAGTCCAACTCTCAGCCCACTATGCAGATACCTAAGTGACCTAAATATTTGAACTTGAGAAGCAATTTTCATTAAAAGGGAATGAAGTATGAAAGTTGGGGCAAACATTTTTAGAACTAGAGGGTGGAGAACATCAACTTTAGGTTGATTTTAAGGCCAACAATGATAGATGTTTTAAGAAGATTGTTAGAAAGTTTTTTTGTTTTGTTTTTTTTAGTTCAAAAATGTATATTGAGTCTCTACTGTGTTTTAGACCACGAGAATAGAAATTTTGGGTCATATCAACCCAGTGGGTCAGAAAAGACCTACCTTGTAGGGTTTCCAAGACTGTAAATTGTATGGAAGCAGACAGCCACAGCTTTCTTCTCTGGAGTCTCTGAGTGGGTTCCTGTTAACAACCAAGCACTTAATCACTGTACCACCAGGGCTCCATAGAGTTGACCAAGTGTTGTAGAATTCATAGCCTATGAGATAAGACCAACAGTGAGTGTTGTTGTTAAGTAGCATCGAATCTATTTCAACTCATAACGACCCTAAGTCGGGGGTTTACAGTGAATGTGGTGGTGGTGGTGTGCTGTGGAGTCAATTCTGACTCATAGTGACCCTCTGTAGGGTTTCCGAGGCTGTAAATATTTACAGGAGCAGAATCGGCCATTATAATACAGTATGATAAATGAGGAAGTATAAAGTGTCATGAGCACATATAAGAAGATTGCTTCATCTAGCCTAGGGGAGTCAATTGAATGTTACCTTTGTTATCAGTCCCAGGATCCAAAACGATCTAGGCTTCAAGATACAGTCTACAGAGAAAAACTCAGAGTATGCTGTTCTTAGAGTTGAAGACTACCTAGCCAACATTTTCCAATACAGGGCACAATTGCAGAGTTTGCATGGTCCTGCATCTCTCTGTATGGGGTAGGACCGACGGGGATCATTCTATACATACTTCTTAATGCAAGCGAGATATATTTCCAAGTGTGGATCCAGCTGAATGGTATCTATTTTCTTCATTGAATAGACATTTGTGTACTTACATTGTGCCAAACATTGTGCCCTATGGTGTATTGTGTGCCGTTTATGCACCTCTTGCCTTCTCTGTATGTTGTTGGTGTTGTTAAGTGCCTTTAAGTCGATTCCGACTCATAGTGATCTATATAGGGTTTACGGGGAGCAGCTGGTGAGCTTGAACCGCCAACCTTGCAGTTCAAATGGCTTTGCAGTCTGGTGCATTAACCCACAGCGCCACACCAGGACTCTGTGTATAGATACACAAAATTTCAATCCCCCAACAATTCTCATAATATGCAGTTGATATTCATTTGATAAATAAGGAAATGAGTCAGAGACATTAAGAAACTTGCTCAAAGTCACAGTTTGCAAAACAGTAGAATAAAAAATCAACCTTATTTCTGAGGCCCAATTCTTTCCACTGGAGTCCTGGTGTGGCACTGTAGGATAATGTACTGGACTGCAAGGTTGGTTTGAACAGCAAGGTCGGCGGTTCAAACTCATCAGTGACGTCTAGGAAACCCAATACAGCATCGCTATGTATTGGAACCAACTCAACAGCACCTAACCACAACAATTCTGTCCACTGGGAGCACAGTGGCTCTGTGGAATAAGCACTGGATTGTGCACAAGGTTATTGATTCAAATCGATCAGCTACTCTATGGGAGAAAGATGACGCTTTCTGCTCCTGTAAAGATTTATAGTATATCCTATACGCAGTCACTATGTGTTGGAACCGCCTCAAGGATACTTAATTTTTTTTTTTCCCCATCACAACACACTGTTATATAACCTAATTCAAAATCACTGTTTTTTTGTTTGTCTTTTGTTTTTTTTTCTGACTGAATCCCAGATCACTAGGATTCAGAGTCAAAATTTCTCATTTGGGGCCTATAATTCTTTGTTTCACAGCTCACAGAAAACTCCGTTCAAATAACTATTCCATTCCCTCCTGGTGTTGCACTGAGGAAAGGCACCGTACCATCAGGTCAATTTGAACTACAAGGTTGGAGGTTCAAATTCACCAGCCGCTCCACAGAAACCCAATACAGGGTCTCTGTGAGTTAGAACTGACTCAATGACACTTCACAACAATATACCATTAATATCATAGTTTTATAAATGGAGCTAATATGATATCATCTCATGGTCCGAGACCAGCTACCCAAAACTTGATTAATGCCGTTGAGATAACGTACCATGTGACTCCAAGTTTGTACAGTTTACTGAAGTTTCTCTAGATTCTTGCTCCCACAAGGAGGACATGTGCTTGTTTTCCTAGTAGGAAGTAAGGGTTTTTTCAGCAATTTTCTGAGAGAGGGAGCCCTAGTGTGGTGCTATAGGATTAGCACTGCACTGCTAACCACAAAGTCAGCGGTTCAAACCTACTAGTCGCTCCTGGGAAACCCTGTACAAGGTCGCTATGGGTCTGAAGTGACTCCATGGCACTTACCAACAGCAGTCCTTCTGAAAGGGGATTTAGGAGGGAGGTAGCCAGAACTTCAGACACATTTATTTCACTCAAAGGATATCTCTTGAAAGCTGAATCTATGACTCTTGGTCAACTCTGACCAGTTAAAAAAACTGAACCAGATAAGCAGTTGGCCAACAGTAAAT